TATATATACAGTATATGAATATGTATATAATTTCTTATCTGCAGGCCAGAGCTGGTGCTAAGAAGTTTCGGAAAGTAACACTGACTGTGTCACCAAAAGGCATTATCATCACAGACACAGAGACTGCAGATCTAATAGAGAATGTCTCTATATACAGGTACATTTCAGTTCTATGCATGACAGTTCTTTATAGAAATGTTTTTTCCAACTTTCATAAATGTAGAACGTATCGACTAGCAGCAAAGACAGAGTGACTCAAGTCATACTTGTGGTTCTGAATGATTCTAGGCCAGTGGTTCCCAAAACTGGTGGATGGGACCCCATTGTGGGCCCTGAAACATTAAGGTTAAGATTTTCAGCATAAAATTATATTTAAACAACAATATTTTGAATATTTTCTTATAAAAGAGTGTAGCTTAAAATAGACAGAAGTAGCATAATGAATAATGTTACTGTTCCCTTGCTTATTTGACCTGATACAAATGTTTATCACCCAGAATATAGTTGGAGCCACAGGGCTCTGCTGCTGTTCTTCTGTGAGTCAAAAGCTGAAAACTTTGGGAACCATTGTTCTAGTTTGTATAACAACTGCCTGAATCTTGATTTTTTTAAATGTCTAGATCACTTCTAATTTGTGGTGCAGATGGTTGCGTTTTGCACTTAATGATGTCAGATTTGCTTCATGCAACATAAAAGCCTTCAAATGAAAGATAAGATTGACTCCATTGGGGCTAAATTACTTAAGAAAAGCTTAATTGTGGCAGAGAAAATCCATAATGGTCAGCATTATATACATATTTATTGATGCAATTACCTTGAGAAGCAATTAAAGCGTAGTAAGATGCAACATTCTGTTGATGCAAAACTCCACATTCATATCTGGATCAAGAGAGAATAATTTATATTGGCGCAGTTTGTAAATCTTTTTATATTATTAGTCCATAACATTTTAAGTTCAAACTTAACCAACCAAAAAATAATAATAATTCACCTATTTATCTGGGATGCAACCTTTATCACATCAACTATATAATAAATATTATGTATTATGTTATTTTCAGTTTTGTTTTATTCTGAAAAGTCTAGACCAGAAGAGGAAGCATGTATCTTTTCTGGTTCAGTTTGAAATGCATTTACCTATTTGCTGGTAATCGTTCAGTTGAGATTTTAAATCCAAAAAGTAGATTTATTTTACCTTTTCATTTCCTCTCTTGGACTTCTTTATCTAGATAAAACACCTTATTTTTTTCTCAAAACTATCTTGGATCTAGACTAGAAAAAAACGTTATCGGCGATTAAATTTAGCAGCGAAGCAGCACCAGATGCTAGCTTTAGCATCTAGCAAATCTAAGGTTAAACAAAATTCCTAAAGTCACATAATAAAAGCACAAGTAAAACAATAAATGCGCATTCTTCTACATTCATGTCTACACATGTTTAGATGTTAGTGTAGATGAAACTAATCGGTGGTCAGTAGTTCATTGGAGGGTCTCTGTTAATGTTTACACTGCATGCCAGTAAAAGCCAATCAATGTCAGCACCTTCTAACCATCAGTGAAAAATTTGTCTGCATTTTAGATTAATGTCACGCTTTTAGATTGGGTCTTGTTGTTTTTAAAGGTTACAGTGTAAATGTCAAAGACAGAGGATGTGTGTGTATGAATGGATGTGTGTGCGTGTTTGTGTGTGTACATCTGAAACCCCCTTTGATCTGCCTTATCAACTGTACCAGACCAGAGACCAGGGGTACCAGCTCTATCCCTGATCTCTTTCCCACCCCCCCTCACTTTATCTTCCTCTTCTCTCCTGTCCTTCCTTTTCTATATTGTTCAGAAAGAACCCCTCCCACCCCCGTTGTGTTTCCTCCTGCTGATATTGCAAAAAACCCGATAACTAATTGCTCATTTTGGAAATCATGCTCCCAATCGTTGCTGACACTCAAGAGTTATGATTCAGGGGTAGGACCACACACAATGCCTGGGCCAAATGAGAATAGATCTATTCTCCATTATAAGAC